GGCATCTGCTATAAAATAAAGACACGGCTTGTGGGTGGGGTTATTGTTTCCTCATCAGGGAGGCAGTGTCCCACCGAGACCCAGCTATTATTCTCTTGTCTGTCTTTCCTTAATCCTTTTACCCCCCCACTCAGGATCACCCTTAGTCGTGCTGGCGTGGCACACTCAATAAGGAAGAATCTAAAAATCTCAATAGGACAATAACTATGGAAGAAATTGAAGCAGTCATCAAAAAGTTTCCAGCAAACAAAAGCCCGGGGCCAGACTGCTTCACAGGGGAGTTTTATCAAACATTCAAGGAAGAACTAAAACCTATCCTCCTCAGACTATTAAAAAAATTCAAAAGGAAGGAACATTTCCAAGCTCATTCTATGAAGCCAGCATCACCCTAATACCAAAACCAGGTAAAGACAACACAATGAAAGAGAATTATAGGCCAAAATCCCTCATGAACATAGATGCCAAAATACTCAACAAAATTCTAGCAAATCGGATCCAGCATTACATCAGAAAGATCATACACCAGGACCAAGTAGGATTTATCCTGGGGATGCAGGGATGGTGTAATATCCACAAATCAATAAACGTGATACATCACATAAACAAATTGAGAGATAAAAATCACATAGTCATATCAATTGATGCAGAAAAATTATTTGACAAAATCCAACACCCTTTCTTGATAAAAACCCTCAGCAAAATGGGAATAGAAGGATCATACCTCAACATAATAAAAGCCTTATATGACAAACCTACAGCCACCATCATACTAAATGGGCAAAAACTAAAACCATTTCACATAAGAACAGGAATGAGACAGGGATGCCCACATTCACCACTCCTCTTCAACAGAGTTCTGGAAGTGCTAGCCATAGCAATTAGACAAGAGTAAGAAGTAAAAGGTATCCAAATTGGAAAAGAAGATGTAAAACTGTCATTATTCACAGGTGACATGACACTGTACATAGAAAAACCTAAAGACTCCATCAAAAAATTATTAGACTTAATAAATTAATTCGGCAATGTAGCAGGATACGAAATTAACGCCAAGATATCTATGGCATTTTTATACACCAATAGTGAACTTACAGAAAGAGAGACTAAAAAAACAATCCCATTTACCATTGCACCAAAAAAATTAAGATACCTTGGAATAAACTTAACTAAGGAGGTAAAGACCTGTACTCGGAAAACTACAAGACACCGAGAAAAGAGATAGAAGAAGACATAAACAGATGGAAGAAATATACCGTGTTCATGGATTGGTAGAATCAACATCATTAAAATGTCCATACTACCCAAAGCAATCTATAGATTCAATGCACTCCCCATTAAAATACTAATGACATATTTCACAGACCTCGAACAAACTCTCCAAAAATTCATCTGGAATAAAAGAAGACCCCGAATAGCTGCAGCGATCCTGAGAAAGAAGAACAAAGTAGGAGGGATCTCAATACCAGATATCAAGCTGTATTACAAAGCTACTGTTCTCAAAACTTCCTGGTAGTGGCACAAGAACAGACATACAGACTAATGGGATAGAATAGAGAACCCAGAAATTGACCCAAACCACTATGCCCAATTAATATTTGACAAAGGAGGCAAGAACATACACTGGAGTCAAGACAGTCTCTTCAATAAATGGTGTTGGGAAAATTGGACAGATACATGCAAAAAAAATGATACTAGACCACCAAGTTACACCATACACAAAAATAAACTCAAAATGGATAAAGGACTTAAACATAAGATGGGAAACCATAAAAATCTTAGAGGAATCCACAGGCAGCAAAATCTCTGACATATGCTGAAGCAATATCTTCACTGATACAGCTCCTAGGGCAGTGAGGGCGAACCTATGACACGCATGTCAGAGGTGACATGCGAACTCATTTTTTTGGTTGATTTTTCTTTGTTAAATGGCATTTAAATATATAAAATAAATATCAAAAATATAAGTCTTTGTTTTACTATGGTTGCAAATATCAAAAAATTTCTATATGTGAGATGGCACCAGAGTTAAGTTAGGGTTTTTCAAAATGCTGACATGCCGAGCTCAAAAGGTTCACCATCACTGTCCTGGGGCAATGGAAACTAAAGAGAAAAGAAACAAATGGGACTACATCAAAATAAAAAGCTTTCGCACAGCTAAAGAAACCATAAACAAAACAACAAGAAAGCCCACTGCATGGGAGAATATATTTGCCAACATTATCACTGATAAGGGTTTAATCTCCAACATTTACAGGGAACTCATACAACTTAACAAAAGATAAACGACCCAATCAAAAAATGGGCAACGGACCTAAATAGATACTTTTCAAAAGAGGACATAAGGAGGGCCAAGAGACATATGTAAACACTAGAGGCCCAGTGCACGGAATTCATGCACTAGGAGGGGCTCCTCAGCCCAGCCTGCACCCTCTCTAATCTGGTACCCCTTTGGGATCGGGCCTAAACTGGCAGTTGGACATTCCTCTTGCAATCTGGGACTGCTGGCTCCAAAATGCTTGCCTGCCTGGTTGCCCCTAAATGCCTCTCCCTGCCAACCTGATTACCCCTAACTTCCCTCCCCTGCCAGATTGATCGCCCCTAACTGCCCTCCCCTGCCAGCCTGATCACCTCTAACCATCTCTGCCTAGGCCCCCACTACTGTGGCTTTGTCCAGAAGGACATCCGGAAGACATCTGGTCTAATTAGCATATTACCCTTTTATTAGTATAGATGCTTAAAGTCACTAATCATCTGAGAGATGCAAATCAAAATGACAATGAATTACCATCTCACACCTATCAGAATGGCTATCATCAACAAATCAACAAATGACAAGTGCTGGTGAAGATGCAGAGAAAAAGGAACCCTCTTGCACTGCTGGTGGGAATGCAGACTGGTGCAGCCACTGTGAACAGTATGGAGTTTCTTCAAAAAACTAAAAATAGAACTCCCATTTGACCCAGTGATCCCACTTCTAGGAATATATCCCAAGAAATCAGAAACACCAATCAGAAAGGATATATGCACCCCTATGTTCATAGCAGCACAATTTACCATAGCTAAGATTTGGAAACAGCCTAAGTGCCCATCAGCAGATGAGTGGATTAAAAAACTGTGGTACATCTATGCAATGGGATACTACGCTGCTGTAAAAAGGAAGGAACTCCTACCATTTGCAACAGCGTGGATGGATCTGGAGAGCATTATGCTAAGTGAAATGTCAGTCAGAGAAAGATAAATATCCCATGCTCTCACTCATTTATAGAATATAATGAACAACATAAACTGCTGAAGAAAAACAGATCCAGAGACAGAGAAGCATCAGTCAGACCATCAAACCTCAGAGGGAAGGTAGGGGAGGGTGGGGGTAAGGGGGAGAAATCAATCAAAGGACTTGTATGCATGCCTATAAGCCTATCCAATGGACACAGACACCAGGGGGTTGAAGGCATGAGTGGGGGGTGGGTGGAGGGACAATAGGGGGGGATAAGGACACATATGTAATACATTAATCAATAAAGAAAGAAAGAAAAAAGAACAAATCTTAATTTCCCCCCATCCAATCAATTCTTGTCCTGTAATGTTTTTCTTGACAGAACTGCAGTCCCTGAGCCTGGGAGAGCTGTTGGAGCCATGCGTGTTTGCCTTGCAGGACAGATCCCCTGTTAGAGATGAGATGCGGGTGGGGAATGGCAGTGAATAACCAGCCGGGTGCCCACTCCAAGAAGTGAGCAGCCCAGCTCTGCAACTCAGCGCTCTTTTCACCTCCTAGTGGATTCCTTTCTACCTTAGACAGCTGGGCTGGGCTGGGCTGGGTTGGTGATTCCCAAAGGCACAAATCCATAAGCTGTTCTAAAACCTGGTGTGGTCCATGGAGCAGCAGCAATAGCTGCTGCTGGTGTTTGTGAGAAATGCAGGATCTCAGACCTACTGAGTCAGAATCTGCATTTTAACAAGATCCCTGGTTCTTTCTCTACACAGTAAAGTCAGATCAGTACAGCTCCTAACACTTGCCCTTACCTCAGCGGTTCTCAACCTGTGGGTCGCGACCCCTTTGGCGGTCGAACGACCCTTTCACAGGGGTCGCCTAAGACCATCCTGCATATCAGATATTTACATTATGATTCATAACAGTAGCAACATTACAGTTATGAAGTAGCAACGAAAATAATTTTATGGTTGGGTCACAACATGAGGAACTGTATTTAAAGGGCCACAAGGTTGAGAACCACTGCCTTAACGGAAATGGAGTAAAATAAATTCAATTAATCTGTACCCTTCTGGGGGTGGTGGTGGGGTGGCTGGAATGCAGAGTGAATCTGAAAGAGTTTGTTTGATAAGCCACTTGTGTATCAGGATCAAAGCTCTGATCTACCCCGCCTCCCCTCACGCCCACCATACTGTGAGATAACAGAACACAGTGCCTAGATTATTATCTAATAGGATGGCCTGGTTAATTGCAGGGCTTTTGTTTTGTGAAGTGATGTATGCAAGTTGGGATTCTACTACCGTAAGGATTCTCCCTTGTCCTTTCCCCTCATAAGATTCAACGAATCCCTCCTTAATAAAAATGCAATGTCTTTAAGGGCTCCAGGTGTAGGGGCTAACTTATTCCTTACCCAGGTGTCATTAGTGATCTCTTGCATTCTGGCTAAGTCCTGCTTCCCAGAGATTAGGGAACCCAGCCACCAACTAGACACTCTTTAAATGTGAGAGTCCCTATACCAAAGGTTGAGTAGAGAGATGGACTTTTGGTTCTATGCCAGGTCATTCTGTGTTGCTCCAGAGACCCTCTCTCTGTTTCCCTATCTATCTCCCTTCTTCAGGAAGGGATAGGGAAGCAGCACATTCAGGTTACAGGCTGTGTACCCAGCATGTCCCTAGGTCCTCTCTAAGAATTGGTCCAGCCTGGACCCACAGGATACCCACCACCTGGGGCACCATCCCCAGCCTGGGACTCTGTGGGGAGCAGGGAGCTTTGGGTATATCATGTGGACTCTCACCATTTCCTTCCTGTTGTGGCACTTCATGTGCTAAAAAAGAATAGGAAAAATTATTAATAGAATGTGGTATGGTGAATTAGTCCAGACCTTGAAGGAATCGATTTAAAATCACCTCCTAAATGGCTGGGAAGACCAAGATGGAGATCACATATTTTGGGATAAGAAGCTTCCATGATCTTTAGCAGTTTGAGGACTATAGCTTATGCTCAATAAATATTGATTCCTTTCCCTTTATTTATATTTTACTTTACCCACTAGAATTTAAGTTCTGAGATGGTATAATGGAGTTATTCATCTTTATATCCTGCCCAATATACAGTAGGTGTATAATAAGTGCCAGTAGGCATACAGTAAATGTCATGGAATGAACTGAGTATGAATACCCAATTTTGCTGCTTCCTAACCCCACTGGAAAATATTGTTTCCTCCCCTTTCAAAATTCAATTTTAACTCAAATTTAAAAGCACTTTACCCTTTGGCTCAGTTTCTTACATGACCCATGAGCCTTGACACCAAGCCCTAGAAATAATGCCTTGGTCACTTGACTTTAACTAGCCAGTGACCTAGTCCTAGTCTAAAAAGGTCAAAAGAGGACTTTCTGGTTGGGGGCCTGAAAATTCTGTGCTTCTTATGTTCTTGTGGGTGGATTTGTAACTTCTGCAAGTTATTTAAAATCATCAAATTATAAAATTAAAATGATACCTTCTGAATCCAACTTTGAGGTGTGTGCTATTTTTGAGGCTTCTTGCTCTGTTTTTACTTTTGATGTTGAAGGTCCTGTTAAAAGACAGAAGAGAAATACAGAAGTTGGTGAAGACAAGATGGCGGTGATATAGGCAGACGCATTCCAGGTCATGTCCCAGAGCAAATGGAGTAAGCAGCTGAAACTAGTAACACCCACACCAAATTGGCAAAATTACTCAGCTGGTGAGACAGTTTGCAGCCGGGAAGGGCCAAACTCCCCTGGAAAGCAGATCCAAGCAACAGCAGCCTCGTGAGCACCACACCCTCTGTCTGAGGAACAGCAGCTGTATGTGAAGCCTCCCCCCACCAGCCAGAAGAGCCACCACTGCTGTGAACAGTACCCACCAGAGGAGCTGCTACCAACTGAGGAGCAGCTGCTACCGCAACCACCCGAGGAGCAACCACAGCCCAAGGAGCCACTGCCACCCAGGGAGCAGCCACTGAACGATTCAACGTCTAGATATGTCAGTGAGATCAAACATGGGTAGACAAAGAAACCCCCAACGGAAAGAAAAGGAGGACTCGCCAGAAAAGCAGCTAAGTGATACAGAGGCATGCAACATGACAGAAAAAGAATTCAGAATAAGGGTCCTAGAGTGCATAAACCAGATGGAGGAAAAAAATCAACAACTTATGCAAGAAGCAAGAAGAAACAGATGAAAAAATCAATAACTTATGCAAGAAGCAAGAAGAAATAGATGAAAAAATCAATAACTTATGCAAGAAGTGAGAAGAAGCAGATGAAAAAATCAATAAATTATGTAAGAACCAAAAAGAAATGAAGAGTGATATAGCTGCAATAAAAAACACCATTGAAAGTATCAACAGTAGACTAGGAGAAGCGGAGGACCAAATTAGTGAATTAGAAGACAAGGAAGCAAAACACACCCAAACTGTACTGCAATTGGAGAAAAAAATTAAAAGACAGGAGGAGAGCCTAAGGGAGCTTTGGGACAACATGAAACGAAACAACATATGAATAATAGGGATGCCAGAACAACAGAAAGAGGAACAAGGATTAGAAAACCTATTCGAAGAAATAATATCAGAAAACTTCCCTGAGGTGGGGAAGAAAAAAGTCACACAAGCACAGAGAGTCCCAAACAAGGTGAACCCGAAAAGACCCACACCAAGACACATCATAATTACCATGGCAAATGTTCAGGACAAAGAGAGAATCTTACAGGCTACAAGAGAGAGACAGAAAGTTACATACAAGGGATCTCTCATTAGATTATCAAATGATTTCTCAACAGAAACACATCAAGCCAGAAAAGAATGGATGGAAATTTACAAAGTGATGCAAAGCAAAGGACTGAATCCAAGAATACTCTATCCAGCAAGGCTATCATTCAAAATTGAAGGGGAAATAAGAAGCTTCACAGACAAAAAAAGGCTAAGGGAGTTTATCACTGCCAAGCCAGCAATGCAAGAAATGCTAAAGGGACTGGTGTAAAAAGAAGAAATAAAAAGCTCAGAAAGAAAACAGCCACACACAAAAAGAAATGGCTACAAACAAGTACCTTTCAATAATAACTTTAAACGTAAACGGACTAAATGCTCCAACCAAAAGACATTCAGTGGCTGAATGGATAAAAAAACATGACCCATATATATGATGTCTACAAGAAACGCACCTCAGAACAAGGGACTCACACAGACTGAAAGTGAAGGGATGGAAAAATATCTTTCAGGCAAATGGAAAGGGAAAGAAAGATGGGGTAGCAATACTTATATCGGACAAAATAGACCTCAAAGTGAAGGCCATAACAAGAGATAAGGAAGGCCACTTCATAATACTAAAGGGATCAATACAACAAGAAGATATAACCCTGGTAAACATGTATGCAGCCAATGCAGGAGCACCGAAATACATAACAAAACTCCTGGAAGATATCAAAGGAGAGATTGAAAACAATACAATCATAGTAGGGGACTTTAATACACCACTGACATCACTGGATAAATCCTCTAGACCAGCTGTGGGCAAACTATGGCCCGCGGGCCGGATTCGGCCCGTTTGAAATGATAAAACTATTGAACAAAAAGACCGTACCCTTTTATGTAATGATGTTTACTTTGAATTTATATTAGTTCACACAAACACTCCATCCATGCTTTTGTTCCAGCCCTCCGGTCCAGTTTAAGAACCCATTGTGGCCCCCGAGTCAAAAAGTTTGCCCACCCCTGCTCTAGACAAACAATCAGCAAAGAAACAGCAATCCTAAATGACTCACTAGATCAGATGGACTTAATTGACATCTTCAGAACGCTTCACCCCAAAGCCATGGAATATACATTCTACTCAAGGGCTCATGGGACAGATTCAAAAATAGACCACATATTGGGTCACAAACAAAGTCTCCCCAAATTCAAGAAGATTGAAATCATACCAAGCATCTTCTCAGACCACGATGGCATAATATTAGAAATAAACTACACTAAAAACAACCCCAAATACTCAAACACCTGGAAGCTGAATAGCATGCTATTAAATATTGATTGGGTTACCAATGAGATCAAAGAAGAAATTAAAAACATCCTGGAAACTAATGAACACAACAATCCAAAACCTATGGGATGCAATGAAAGCAGTCCTGAGAGGGAAGTTTATAGCTCTACAGGCCTATCTCAAAAAACAAGAAAAAATGGTAGTAAATCATCTAACTCTACAACTCAAAGAATTAGAAAGAGAGCAACAAGAAAACCCCAGAGTGAGCAGAAGGAAGGAGATAATAATAAAGATTAGAGCAGAAATAAATGAAATAGAGACCAAAAAAACAATACAGAAAATCAATGAAACCAAGAGCTGGTTCTTTGAAAGGATAAACAAGATTGACAAACCTCTAGCCATGCTCACCAAGAAGCAAAGAGAGAGGACCCAAATAAACAAAATCAGAAACGATAGAGGCGAAATAACAACAGACCCCACAGAAATACAAATGATTGTTAAAATATACTATGGACAGCTCTACTCCAACAAACTAGACAACCTGGAGGAAATGGACAAATTCCTAGAAAAATACAACATTCCAAAACTCAATCAGGAAGAATCTAAAAATCTCAACAGGCCAATAACTATGGAAGAAATTGAAGCAGTCATCAAAAAGCTTCCAGCAAACAAAAGCCCAGGACCAGACGGCTTCACAGGGGAGTTTTATCAAACATTCAAGGAAGAACTAAAACCTATCCTTCTCAGACTACTACAAAAAATTCAAGACGAAGGAACACTTCCAAGCTCATTCTATGAAGCTAGCATCACCCTAATACCAAAACCAGGTAAAGACAACACAATGAAAGAGAATTACAGGCCAATATCCCTCATGAACATAGATGCCAAAATCCTCAACAAAATCTTAGCTAATCGGATCCAGCAGTACTTCAGAAAGATCATACACCACGACCAAGTAGGATTTATCCCAGGGATGCAAGGATGGTACAATATCCGCAAATCAATAAACGTGATATATCACATAAACAAATTGAAAGAAAAAAACCACATGGACATATCAATTGATGCAGAAAAAGCATTTGACAAAATTTAACACCCATTTTTGATAAAAACTCTCAGCAAGGTGGGAGTAGAAGGATCATACCTCAACATAATAAAAGCCATATATGACAGGCCCACAGCCAACATCATACTCAATGGACAAAAACTAACACCATTTCCCCTAAGGACAGGAACAAAACAGGGATGCCCACTCTCACCACTCCTGTTCAACATAGTACTGGAAGTATTAGCCATTGCAATTAGACAAGAAGAAGAAATAAAAGGCATCCATATTGGAAAAGAGGAAGTAAAACTGTCCTTATTTGCAGATGACATGATATTATACATACAAAATCCTAGAGACTCCATCAAAAAGCTACTAGACTTAATACATGAATTTGGCAATGTAGCAGGATACAAAATTAACCCCAAGAAATCTGAGGCATTTCTATACACCAATAGTGAACTTACACAAAGAGAGATTATAAAAACAATCCCATTTACCATCGCACCAAAAAAATTAAGCTACCTAGGAATAAACTTAAGTAAAGAGGTAAAAGACCTCTACTCAGAAAACTACAGGACGTTGAAAAAAGAGATAGAGGAAGACATAAACATATGGAAGAACATATCGTGTTCATCGATTGGTAGAATCAACATCATTAAAATGTCCATACTACCCAAAGCAATCTATAAATTCAACGCACTTCCCATTAAAATACCAACGGCATACTTCGAGATTTAGAACAAACTCTCCAAAAATTCATCTGGAATAAAAAAAGACCCCGAATAGCTGCAGCAATCCTGAAAAAGAACAAAGTAGGTGGGATCTCAATACCAGATATCAAGCTGTATTACAAAGCCACTGTTCTCAAAACTGCCTGGTACTGGCACAAGAACAGACATATAGATCAATGGAATAGAATAGAGAGCCCAGAAATCGGCCTGAACCAATATGCTCAATTAATATTTGACAAAGGAGGCAAGAACATACAATGGAGCCAAGATAGTCTCTTCAATAAATGGTGTTGGGAAAATTGGACAGATATATGCAAGAAAATGAAACTAGACCACCAACTTACACCATACACAAAAATAAACTCAAAATGGATAAAGGACTTAAACGTATGACGGGAAACCATAAAAATTCTAGAAGAATTCAAAGGCAACAAAATCTCAGATATATTCTGAAGCAATTTTTTCACTGATACAGCTCCTAGGGCACTTGAAACTAAAGAGAAAATGAACAAATGGGACTACATCAAAATAAAAAGCTTCTTCACAGCAAAAGAAACCATCAACAAAACAACGAGAAAACCCACTGCGTGGGAAAACATATTTGCCGATGTCATATCTGATAAGGCCTAATCTCCAAAATTTATGGGGAACTCATACAACTTAACAAAAGGAAGATAAACAATCCAATCAAAAAATGGGCAAAGGACCTAAATAGACACCTTTCAAAAGAGGACATTCAGAAAGCCAAGAGACATATGAAAACATGCTCAAAGTCACTAATCATCTGAGAGATGCAAATCAA